GTTTATGAAAGGACCTCATAATTCGTAATGATTATAACTACAGTTTGAGAGCCGACTACTAAAAACTTTCTTGGCATTGGTGATTTATCAGTTTTATAAATAATAAGGAAGTGAAAACTAGGCACCATCATAAAAACAACCAACGATTATGGTTGGGTTTTCTTACGGAATACGTTTTTGATTGAATAAATTTGTAAATAACGAGTCCCAGTTGGAAAGCTTTAGATTGTATAAATTTCTCCAGTTTATCATGTATTTCGGGGTTACTAAAAGTCTGTTAATACAATAGTGGAAAATTGACAAAATTAAAAACAAATTCGCAGAAAATAGAGTTTTTGAAAGTTAATAAATACTATAGCTCACTGTAACTGTATAACATAGCTTTGAATGTTTAATTTAAAGTACTTTGTTTTATCTATGTTTACATTATATGATACCTAAAATAGCTTGAATCATTCAAAGAAAAAATGCATGTAAACGTATACAGTAAAAAGCTGATAATTTCCATCAAACATCTGTTATGAAAATTTTAATATTTTTATCTTATCCTACTAATATTATAAGTGAGAAAGTTTGGATGTTTGGATGTTTGGATGGATGGATGAATGGATGGATGGATGGATGTTTGTAACAACTAAACGCGAAAAATACTTAAATATCATATTCACCAATATAAATTTATTTATTGTTAATGCACTTTATTTGCTGTGGATTGATTTAAACACATGATACTGTTTATCTAAATGAAGGATTTGTATTGGATGTTTATAGTAATGAATGCGACCTAATCCCACACAAGAGCACGCTAAGCCGTTCATGCAATATGGATGTTCACACTCGGTCTAGAGTTGTATCTACTGCAATGGCAATAAAACACATATTTTCATTCGATCACAAAAACTAATTTTATCTATTTTGTCTACTTTATGAATACTTCTTTATTAAAGTGAAAGTTCATTCATTTTAGATTTTATGCAACATTATTTTCCCTGAAACTACAAAACTATATTCTATTTTGTTTTACCCAGCCTAATAATGAAAACACACAAACATTTGACATTTATTTGACAGTAAATATAAGGTAATATAAATTGTAATTTATTTACCATTAAAGGCTAACAATGATGAGTTTGAATCATATTGGTCTTCCCGTCACGTTTAGGCCCGTTAAAGCTTTGCACAAATGTAGTCTATGTTTCCAGAATTCTAATGTCCAGAACGAATCCCTATCATACTTGGCAAATTTAAATTTACTAAGCCATTACCATTTTACTAAAAAAAACACACACTTTATTACACTCCTTTAGGCAGCAAACCTAAGTACTCGTTAAACCTATTGTTATTTAAATAAGGAATAAATATAACAATTTTAAGGAGATATTTTAATGAAAATCCAATCAGGCAAATGAAAATTCACATAGTCTGCAGGTTTGCAGCAGTGTATGTAGGAATTACATAATATATAGATAAAACGTTAAGGACTCATATCAAAGGTGCTACTAGCCATCAGAGGCTTTTAACAAACCATGGGCTAATCTAGTTATTTAGCCTCTCGTACTTCGGTGCAAAGGGAGTGAATTCAATTCCCGACGTATTAACAAAATATGGAGGGGTTTGGGCAGCTTAACCTTACTTGAAACAAATAATTAGCTTTCTTAACAACGACAATCAAGGTTATAGCCCTGGATTACTTAGCACCCAGATACAAGCATGAGTAGAGCAAGTAGTATATAATACAATTCAATATACTACCCTAAGATTAATTTAAAGTTCAAAGTAAACATGCTAAACGCATGTGTTTTTACCTAGCAGGGGTGGGATCGACCCTACATGATGCAACATTGTTTGGAGATGTGTAAGCACCAGTGAAGTCTCCTTGACTCTACACAACAAACAACAAACACCTTAGATTAAACGTCCGTAAGCTGCCTCGTCTAACCTAAGCTTGTTTTGATGTAATACTTTTATCATTACGCAATCCTACACCCACGTTTGTAAAAAATAACTTTACGATACAATTACTTCAATGATGTACAAACAGTAAGTGGGGGTTTCAGTAGTTAAAACTGTTGTAGAAGTTGTTTTATAACTAAAAAAATTGACTACTGAAGTTGCATTTCAAAAACGTTTATTCCAAAAGTATAAGAAGTATTTAACCATCCTAATTTTAATACAAGTTAAAATTCGCTTAGACTGCAGGATTACTGCGGCGGGGGTATTTTGTTTTTAATCCATGATTTCTTACAATTGCTATTACCTTTTAAGTGCATATATATCGGGGGCTTAATCAATAACTATCCGAAACTATTTAAATTATTTGTAAACACACTTATTTGGAAGGAAACAGACATAATGATGTAGAATTTGTTCACTTTCTAGAGACTTGACAGGAATTATTTGACGCGTGGAGCTCTGGTGAATACTAAAATAAATGCCGTCACCATTTCAACTCACACGCGGTTGTTTCTTGGTCAATTTTAAATTATTTAGGCCTACTATATAAAAATAATTATAGCTTATAGCTGACCTTAAACTGAATTAAATTTAATACTGCAGGCTTCACAAATGATAAATATAATACACCCCTATTGTAATCTTGGACGAAATACCGATTTAAAAAATCTACCACTGTTCCCTGTAATGAGAACAGCTACATTTCATTTACAAATGTTATGTTACCAGTTGCTGTAATTTATTACAAATTTATCTAATGGAACAACATAATCTGTTATCTATTATATTATTAAAGTGATACAGTAAAATTAATTTTTATCGTTTAAGGTAACTAAGCAAATAACAATCACACACATATAGGCATATGACACACTAAACTGAAGGTTAAATTGTGTAGATTTGCCGAAAGGTATCGATATAAAGGAATTCCATTATGAATCTGCCCCACAGGTTAATATCCTATGGTCTCTGCCTTACATACTTACAAAGTTTACATGATTTAATTAATTTGGGTAGTGTACATGTTGCTTGAATTCGAGCAATTGCAAAATATTACATGAGTTATATGAAAATGAATAACGCTCAAAATTTCCGATAAGTTTAAAAGAGTGAACTAAAAGATGATTTAACTAATGAAAAAACTAACGATGTCAATACCAGCTCAATTAAATCAACATATGTTGTAGATATTTTATAATTTTTTCAATTCCGATCTTGTTTATAGTGTTTTCTACTCATAGCCTAATGAGGTTGTCCATGATTATATTCGTCATTGATAATGTAGCCTGCGTGGTACCACCCTTGTCGCCAAACAAATTTCAGTAATAAAAAATAGCGATAAAATTGTTCACATAACTAAAGAACTACCTGATTTCCAGCATAACCTCTCTGTCACAATTTTATTTGCTTCAATAGACATTCTCTTGGTTAGTTACTGTAATAACGTCAATTATATTTACCTGAGAAAATGCGAGTTAAAAGGCCTGATGTGGTCCAGATGTTTTTTCCCTTAAACTAAATAGTAATTGAATTCTTAATGAACGTTTTAGTAAATATTCCATGGAAGTAGTCATATTCTTCTAAAATCACTTGACTTTTTAGAAAAAATATATTTAACGTCCTTGCCGTGCCAGTTTTATTTAGCCTTAGGGGTTTCCTCTGCAATATATCCCAAAGTTTATCCATGTTTCCTACTAAAATTGGTAACACTTCGGCTAACATCCTCGTTAATCGTTTATAGGAATCTTCATCTTGTAGGCGTTTTCATTATATTAGGCTAAGAACGATACTGAATTCATTAAAAAAATTATCCCAATTTCTTCTACTTTGTGGCGTTCTAAATGACTTTGATATGTTTCAATAGTTTGCAAATCGGTTCATTCATGATTGCTGAAGAAATACAGTACTGTGTCAATTAATTTTTTTATTTGGTAAAACATATCCAACTGGCCAAGATTTTGGATTTTTTAAATTATAATATGAACGCAAGCCCAAATTCAAATAGTAAATACTGTATTCAATTTCAACCAATTCAGTGTTTATACATGCTTTTCCTTAAATTTCAAAAAATAAATATTAACATCAATTAAGTTATCCAGCTGATCATAATGTAAACAAATAATGTTCTTCATAAGGATAATATGGGAACCTTAAAAGTCACTGGGGCAGAGCCCGATGAACTTTTTCAAACATATACGGACAGTTTGCAAGTCTACGCGACACGCTCTTTCCAATGAGACGTGGATGGTCAACATCAGTTAAGAAAAAGCGGAGGAGTTCAAAGGACAAATTTCGTGTTGGCGTATTAACTGTATATAGATGAGAACAGCTGATCGATGTATTAGTAACCGAGATGTAGGATGATGTTTTTGCTGCTGCTTGGGGGATTTTGCGAGTTATTACCATTGACTATGTCAATGTTATTACGTAAGAAGGGCATGTTAAGTTAGATGAAGAACATCAATATCAAGAAGGCCTTATTAATAAACACAAACCACGCGTTGTGCGTTGTGTGTTGGGTTTTGGTTGTATTGCCACAATACGGTATCTTGTTTTATTCAATTGGATATTGACCTTAAATATAAGTAAAAACTTACCTAGGTTTACACTTTTAGATAAGTTGATCTTTTGAAATTAAATCGAATTTTTAAGCAAGCAGGGAATACTACCCCTCGGTCTCCTAGGAAATTGTAATTCCTTACCTTATTAAAGAAAACAAATTATATTATCTTTAAAGCAAAGTAGTAAAATGTATTTTTTTAATGATCAACTTTATGGATGCGTAACTATTTCATACGTATCTTTCGTCCTATTTCCGTTTTGAAGCACGGGTTTAGCATTACGAGTTATATTAAATGCAGTCCTTTCATTGGTCATTTGGCTCATTAAAAATATATAACTTTTTGCAAACATTTATTTGTTTTACCTATACGCCTAAGCAAAACTTAATATTAGTTTAATAAACCATCTTTTTACATACTCAAACACCATGTTATATTTTCTTTACATCAAAACAAAACAAAAATAAATTAGTATTTTACATGGATCTAACTGGTGGCAGTGGTGTTTGTATCCTCATTTGGTTGAGGCTGCCCCTGCTCCTCATATTTCTTCCCTCTTTTTCCACCTCGTCTCTTAGGCTTACTCATCATCTTTGGCGTCCACATTTTTGTGCAAGTACTGCAGCGTTTCACCCTTCTTCGGTGTCGCCTCTGACTTCTTTGGCTAGACTTTCTGCAACTTCTTTTCGCACTTCTTCTCCTTCTACTATGCCTTCGTTTGCTCCTCCCGCCGAATCTCCTCATTCGTCTGCTTATTCTTTTCCCACTCCTGGAACGTCTATGCCGTCTGCTTTTTCCACATCTTCTGTTTTTTCTGCTCATCTTTCTAACACGTCTGGGCCTACTACATCTGCTGCTTCTACTCCTATGGATACGGGACTTCCTTGGTTTACACAAGCTTGATCTACTTTTTGATCTTCTTGTTCTTTTCTTGCTCAACTTTTTTGGAGTCCACATTCGAGTACATTTTCTTCTACACTTGTCTTCTTCATTTTCTCCTATCTTGTACCTTCCCAATTCTGTTCGGACGAGCTGGTCATTTCTCAGTGCAAACATGAGTGCAGCTCTTACTTGAGCCTTGGTTGGGTGTGGGTCCGGTGAGTTACTCTCTATGTAGCCCATTATTTGCTTTGGAGTAGAGCCATTTGTTTCGTTTAGGTTCACGACAGCATTACAAACCATCTCTATCAAACTGGATTTGGAATTGCTTTTCACTTGACTCGAACCCATTTCTTCCATTACCTATTAATTTTGAAGCACGAAATCGAATGTGATACGAAAAATTTTTATTTAGTAATTTATGTTACCATGGTTTTAGGAAAGAATGCAATAGCCAGCTTGTTGTTGGCAATAGTTTATTTGGGAGATCAAATAATTACGTAACTTTGGATGCAATCGGTTATTAATTTAAAATAAATTCAATCTGTAATAGTTTTTTTCTTTCAATAATACCTAACTCTTTCTTTTTTTATGATGTTCAAAGAGAATTTTTATCGAAAGATCTAAGATTGTTTTGAACCGAAATACATTAAAGTGTTATTTGAAATAAAAAACAAATAATATTATTAAACAATACAAAGTTTTTGGAATCCCATACTATTGCTGGGCGAAAATTCAATAACTAAAATTATTTATATATTGATTGAGGGTGTGCTACACAGGGTTTGCATGTCCGGACTCTGGGATTGAACTATAAGTTGCCTGATGACATGATAACGTTGCGTAACATAAACTTCATGTAGAACATACCATCCTAAAGCTCAAAACGTATCTTGTATTAAACATTTCTTAGTGGTATTTTATTAAAAATTTTGTATTAGAAATAAGAATTTCAGTGCAGGCAAATTAGTTTCTTCAGAAGGCCCCTTTGATAAAATCATTCATAAGAGTTTATGTGATGAAACCTTAAAATAGGTAATCAACATTGCATTAATCTACAATAATCTGAATTAATCTACTAATTAATACACTGAGAAAATGATAAGGAATCTTTTCGCACGGCACAACAATATAAAAAAAACAAATTTGGTTGAATAAACAATGGAAAAAATGTCCGTGTTAACACTATTTCTATACAAATCTATTTAAAATCAGGGATAAAGTCTTGAAAAATGTTTACAGCATTAAATTAAATGCTAAATTTTATATTTTGTTATCCATAATTGTAGCTAAATCTTGTGAACTCATTACCGTTGAGCATAACACAGGTCACGTTTTATTGTTCCTTCAAATTGATACAGCGGCGTAGGTGTTGGTTTACTGTGGCAGTGGTCCAGCAGTCATTGAAGTTCTACGGCCATCGTCACTCCACTCATTCATAAAACTTAATCGTTTAAAATATCGTTTAGGATACAAAACTGTTACTTCTTACAAATTCGCGTTCCATAATAAAACGTAAATTTTCGATTACCTTGCATATCAAACACATCTATACAGGGTGTTCAAAAAAGGTGGGGACATATTTTACCTAGTGATTCCTTGGGTCAAAATAAAGAGAAAATCAAGAATAACATTTTTTCCAAAATCGCTTCGTTAACCAGATATCCGCCATTTTGTATTTTTTACAGAAACAGTTTCCCCTTTTAATATTTTCAACCGATCTTTATGAAATTTTGTATGTATGTCAATGTAGACGAAACCCGTGTCAAAAAAAAGTTCATCTCGACTCATTTTAAAATTTCAAAATGGCGGCCATTTAAAAATGTTAAACTCAAATTACTCGAAAATGACTGGTTTTATGAAAAAGTGCCACAAACGATTTTATTTAGCATTTTTAACTACCTATCAAACGGTACCAAGTTCAAAAAGGTTAGGGTTCTTTTAGAGTTTAGTTTAAGGCGGAGAACCCAGTTGTATGAAATCAGATGACTTTAAAAAGAAAATCATTCATTTTTACTTTTACCAAGTCACTTATTAGATCGCAAGTGAGTTTTTGTAAAATCCAGAGTTTCATTTCTATGGAAACTTATGAGAAAATTTACAAATATACATCTGTACGGATACTGTATAAGGTACTGTTTACGGATTAACACGATCCATACTATCCCTCAATGTGAATTTTTTCGTATAATTTAAGGAGAAAAATCTACGAAACATATATTACAAGTAAATTAAATAATATTCACGGTCGCTCCAAAAAGTAAGCAAAATAAATCGAGTTTCTATAAAACAGTCCAATTATTTTCATATTATTGTTTATTGGGTTATTTTTAATTCGTCATATCTATTATATAAATTATTACACGTTGCGTAAAAATAATATTAAAAAGAGATATAGAAAACAAACGGAACGATATGATTTATCAAAGAATGTTTGAGTGAAATGCCGTTGTTGAGATCAGCCTGTAGAGGGTGAGAAATAAATCAGGTGATTTACAGCTTTATGGATAAACTTCGGAGATTGATTTGATTCTCAAGTGGCGCCTTTTTACATGTTAAACTGAAATATGTTTGACGTGAAATTAATTTGGAATTTATTCTAGGCTACTTGTAAAAAACCCCCTGTCACAAAAATTCCAGAATCTTACAAGTAAAGTTCACATCGTTGAGTATAGACATTTTTGTTCTCTTATATCGCAAGTCAATTTTGACATGTCTAACAGTTTAGTAAACTGTCACAAAATTATTTTAACATAAGAATAATTTGCCTATTATGGTAGGATTTGTTGCTAATTCTAAATTTATTTATGAAAATTGACGGGTAGAAAACTTACCTCGATACGGAATTGTGATTAATAAGTAAGTTAAGAAGTACTGGTGTTTAAGTGCAATTTTGATAGCCCAAACAAAATATTAACTCACTTCGAGTTACAATAGCTCATGCACCAAAACCAAAAGATCATACAAGTGGAATCTACAGCCCTGGCAACTTTTATGCCTAACAATGATACCCAGGGAATACTGATTTTACAGTGACAGAGAGTCGTATAGTCATACCTAACTTTATTGCTGGAGGGAGTACACATCTATATATATAAAATCCAATGTATGTTTGTATATTTGTATATTTGTATATTTGTATGTTTGTATATTTGTATGTTTGTCCTTTATGGACTCCAAAACCGCTCGACAGATTGTAATGAAACTTTCAGGCATTATTAAGTAGGAGTCAGATTTTGTTGTAAAAGTTGTCGTCAGTTTTATGAATGACCCATTATAGTAACATTGGCAATAGTGCCACGTCAATAAAACTTCTGGAGCGGTGCCATAGTAAACATACGCCCACACTCTGTTTCTCGGGTTGCCAGATGACTCTATACTTAATACATTTTAAATGTGGGGAATGGAATTTTCGAAAAGTGCAGTCGATTTATTCAAATATTAACACCTCTTTGGCAATCTTAGTTGTGAAAGTGAGATGATCGTATGGAGAAAATCATACAATTTTGAAAAAGCATTTAATTTTCCCTGACGGAAAGCTTTTTCCCTTCTGGTAAAGAATAATTCAGGGAATCGGAGTCTATTCAACATTTATACTGTTTACTCAAAGCTATGCCTAAGTCGTTGAGGAGGAAAAGTTGATTTAAAGTTTTTACCTTTAAACACCTAAATTGGTTGACTTCAAACTTAGCACAAAATTAGTGAAAATTAGGAATAATCGTTGTACAAAGGATTAGACAAAAAGTTCTTTCTTTAATATCTTAAATACTTGTTATCATAATTTAAAAACTCACAAACATACAAACAATCAGTAAACTAAGCATTTTAGACCAATGTTTATACGATGTTTTTTATTGTGTTGACCTAAGGGAGAAACTACAAAATCCTCCCAGAAGTTTGTATACACCCTGTATATGTATTCCCATAACCACGACAATACACCGTTTACATATTTCGGCGAGTCGGTGGCTCAGTTGTTAGCATACAGTATGAATCTAAGTCAGCGTTCGTGTCCACCACTAAATTTCAGGATCAGTAATTTCCCTCTGGAAGTTACTTCACCGGCTTACCCTTTGCTTCTACACAAAGACCCAAGGCCTATGACGACAAATAATTGCAAAGACCACCAAATTCTCTAAGAAATTTCAATTTTTATTCATAAAACAGATAAAAAATCGTAAAAAAATTGATTGTTTAGGCTTACTAAACCGAGAATATGCTTAAATAGCTTCTACATAAGCATTGACAGTTGCTTTTAGAATTTCTGTGAAAATCAAATTATTAGTAAAGTAATAGTATAAAGTTTTGAATGAAATACTTAGACTACAATTATTTAATAGCGTGTATGATTTAAAGCTAGGCGGTAAAAAAACTTACATGTAAACTTATAAACAAGTACTGTAAAACTGTTCTGTAAAAACAAGTACTGTTGTAGTGAAACGGCCATATACATAGATGACTGTTTCTACCTATAGAACAAATACTCTTCACTGTTCAGAGATACTTTTATTGAATATATTTAATACCTGCGTGCAGATTATACTCAAACTCGTAATTCGTGTGTATATCCAAATATTTTATTGAATAAGTATGTGCAGTCAATGTCAGAGTGTAAACATACTACTATTTCCATTTAATTCATATATTTCATACTCAATATTGCATATTAGGCCTATTTCATACTTTATATCTCCAATTAATTCAATATCGAAGAGAGTACTGTTGAGTGTAAACATGCGCTGGTGTAAGAGTCTTGAGAGGGGGGTTAATGCTCTTCACCACTTTCAATTACGCGGCTGATTATGATTATGGCAATTAACCTTCATGGGAAAACTGGAGGTGATTATCATCTTGAGAGCATTACCTTGCTTAAACAAGAAACACTAACAATAATGTATTTTGATAAAACAACAATAAATTACAAGTTCTATATAAAAAACATATAGTTTTTAAATTGTGTATTTGACATAGCTAAGCTGTTTTAACAAATAAGTATTCGTATTACAAGAAGCAAAAGAGGTATCTATATAAAAATTTTAATAACATTTCATGAGAACGAAAAATGATTGTAAAATACTCATACTATAACAAAATATACAGGAAAACAGATGTATTAACAACAACAATGCCATCTTATAAAAATAATATTTCGAATGACAAATGGAGTGCTGAGATTACAGAAAAGTTCGAGCAATCATTGTCATGCTGCGAGGGAGGATAGGAAAAGAATAAGAGAGATATATTTACTTCCCGTTCTGCTTGTGTGAAAATGCTTTCGGTTGATGTATATATTTATAGACTACTCACTTGCTTTTGAACATTTAATTTGCCTACACCAACGTTAATCCTAATCTTAATTT